AAGTGCATCCTATTATTTTAAAAAATTGGTTAAATTTAACTTAACATGTTAAAGAAAAAGAAATTATAATTTTTGCATACCCATTATTTTTAAGAAAATTAAATTAAAATTTTAGACCACCATTCTTAAATTTATAGATCCACCACTTGATGCAACAGTGCATTTGACTTCACCACTTCTATTCATATAATATTATAATTTTTTAGTATAAATCAAATTATCTTAATAATTAAAAAATTATTATTTTTAAAAGTTTGGTCATATATTATTTGTAATTGGTAAATTTAATTTATTTGTACTTAATTTGATTATTTTTAGTCTTTATATTTTTATTTTTTTTTAAATTTGATTCTAATTCAAATAGTAATTGTTAAATATATTAAGCAAAATTATGTTATTAGTCTCTGTACTAAGTGTAAATTGTAGGTTTAGTTCATGTCATCTAACTTGATCATTTTAAGTCATATAGCTTAATCATATTGTCCTTCTATTATTGGTATCGTGACTCAAATTTGAAAATTAAAAAAATATATAAACCAAAATTGATCAGGATTGAAGTATAGGGACTAATTTCGAAACTTATGTATATGGACTCATAATAAATTTGACCTATCTAGAATAAATCATGATTATATCCAAACATTGAACTAGGCTACTTTCGGAACTTAAAACCCATAATTTAAAGTTTTTGAGGCCACATTCGAATCAATATTGGGCCAATTGATCCATCAATTACATGGGTAGTTTTAACCCAAACAATAATCCATAATCAACCCAAAAGATTTTCATCTTTTATGAAAAATGTCCTTGAAGATAGAACCTAGATTCGAAGAGTTTTGATCTCACTCGATTTTACAGGTTCATTTTTTTAAAAGAAAAATTGAATTTAGGTCAAATTTAATAATTTTTTAAAGAATAAATATTAGATTGGGTTTGAGTTTAAAATAAAAAATTCATTATTTGATGGTCGAGATAATAGTTATCCCTTATATATTTAGAGATAGTTGAAATAATATATCCCTTGCTATATCTTTCAATTCGGTCCTTATTTTATCAAAAAATATATATATATATATATATATATATATATATATTTTGGGTCAGGTTAGAAATAAAATTTCCCCCTAAAAGTTAAATCGAATTTAGATCATATAAAGTGTCCTTAAATCAAATTAGATCGAATGACAAATGAAAAGATATCATACGAAGACTAAATTCAGATCAACCAAAAACTTGAACCCATCCATTAACACCCTTCCTTAGGCCTTTTTTTTATTATTAAGAATCTTATTGAAAGAACTAATAAATATCATATATTTGGTTAAACTGAAATATGGCGAGATAAGAATTTAATATATCAAAATTCATAAACTTTTTTTATTTTAATTAAGCAAGTGTCCCATCGACATAAAATATTATATAAAAAAACAAAATTTAGAAAAAATGGATAAGATATATATATATATATATAAGGTTGGAGAAATGAAAATAAAAGCTTGACATGAAAGCTACGGTCGTGTGGGCTAATTCTTGCTTCATCATCAACTTGTCTTCTCCAACCTTACCCCATCACGTTGCATACATAATAGTATTCTAAGGTAGGTTATGTGTTACTTCATCACCTTTGATTACACTCATGTTTTTTTTCTTTGATTTATCTCCAAAATCATGGTTTTTTTCTTATTTTTTTATTGTTAAATAATGATAGTTAAATTCATTATCAATTAGTCTTAATTATATACATTATTAGTATATTAATTTATTGATTGAAAAATTATAATAATAATAATATATATAAACGAAACCCATCAAAAAATCATTAATTTTCATCAACACTGTTATACTCATAACAAATATATATTAATGGAACTTACGAGAAAACAACCACTCTTGGTCAATAGTCAATTCTTCTTGAGAGTTGTGCTTTATTCTTAAATAATTATCGATATATTCATATTATTTCTTAATAATATTCTATCTAAATTATAAAGGATGAATCATGTTCGATGTTAACCATCACCATTTCTTTTCCATTGTCCATGAACAATTATCATCGCCTAATACATGCCCAAAAGTTTGTTAGTCTTGAAAATATTACAGAAATATGCTCTTGTCATTAGAACATATTAATAAATAAAAATGACAATAATAACAAATAATGTTTGATTATTAGCAAGGAAAAAGCTAACCCATATTTGGTTTAATTGTCGCTTCAAAGAATGTTAAGGTTTAGAGCTTAATTAATTTTTAGTCCCTAATAATATTTTGAAATTACTATTTCAGTCCCTGCCAATTTTAAAATCAGTGAAAGTAAGCCTTATCCAACATTTTTCTAGTTTAATTATATTTTAAAATTACATAAATTAAATCTTAATCTTCATTTTTTAATTAAATACTTCTTATGTTCATGTTAATTTCAAAGTTAAACAAATTTATCTCCGTAATTATGTAAATGCTTTATGTCATCATATTTTGAGTTCAAAAATTGACAACCCCTCCCTACTAGTCCATAAGAAAACTAAGAAAAATTGAAGAATTTAAATTTATAATTCTAATAGAGTTAATTGTACCACACATCTTAAAATTATAACCTATATTTTAAACTGATCATAAACTTTTGAATATTTTAATTTCAATATTGTTTAATACTCTCATTTTAAATTGGTCACAGTCTTTTGAATGTTTCAATTTCATCCCCAAACTTTTGAATGATTTTGTGAGACGTTATTGGAAAGTTCAAAAGTTGAGTGATTAATTTAGAATGAGAATCCTGGGTTGAGGATGAATTTGAAACATTCGAAAGTAGAGATTAATTTAAAATAGGTCATAATTTGATAATGAAATTAAAATATTAAAAAAAATTAAAGACCAACTTAAAATAAGGATCGTATTTTAGATATACATGATGCAATTAATTCATTCTAATATTATAACCCATATTTATTGAAATCCACCTTCTAAAGGACGCAAAAATGAATAATTTAAGCTAACCCGTAGTTTTGATGCCACATGATTGCGAAACTAGATCTTTATCCATTAAAGTTTTGAAAATAAATTTGACCTACCTCTTAGCTAGCTAGTATTGGTTTAGATGGACATTGATGAGTTGGATTTTTGGCCAAACATGTTGTCCCAATATTGGACCAACTCACCTACTATATTATTAAACACCCTCTTTTAGGTTGAAACTTTAGTCATATTCTAATTTAGTGACATAACAAATTTTCAAACACATTATTTCAAAGTATATTCTTTTGGTATAATTATTATTATGCTTTATTGGTCCTAAAATTTAAATTTAGTATTGTAAAGATTATTATAGAGATAATTCTTACAACTCAATTTGTTTCATTCATAACATCATAATTCAAATATTTGTTATTGTTTAAGGATCTAACGACTTATCTTATTATATCAACCGATGATTAGTGTTCAAAGCATAATTTAATTTGAACACTCTTAATTGATCATTGAATTGTCTGTCTAGTTCAATTGGTAAAGCACAAGGCTCTTAACCTTGTGGTTGTGGGATCGAGTCACACGGTGGGCAATTCATAATTTTGACTGTCGGAGGTCTCCCACGAAAGCTGCTTTCAATCTGGTGTTGGGGGCAGCCTACTATCCTACCTCCCCTTATTCCATTATCATTCCATCAATGTTCATAAACTTTTAAATTTAGGGTTTTTTCTTATATTTTTGAATTAAATGATATTTAAAATTTATGAAAGGGAAAATTGAAAGGTGGCAATAAATACAAAAGGGGAAAATTACATACTTTTGTTTTAATGGTCACATGGAAAAGAAACTTAGAAAGTGAAAAAAAAGGGTTGTAGTTGTCACACTATTCATGGGGAAAGAATATAATTTCATTATGTCATGAACTTTATATATATATATATATATATATATATCTATATATATTTACTTTTGCTATAATCCCATGGCCCCATGAAAAGTAGGTTGCACCAATAAAAATAAATAACCTATGGTCCCCCACACCAAATTATCAATTACTAGGGTATAAATGTAATACATGGAAATCGGTTCGAAATTCGATCTACGGTTCTGATTAAATTTGATCAAGTTTTATTTCTTAATTTAAATTTGATTTAAAATTAAAATTTAAATAATTTAAACTCATTCATTAAACTTATTTATATATTTCTCATGTTTGAATTTAAAACAATTATTAAAATAATTAAATTCAGTCAAATTTAATTTTTGTCATCAATAAATTAATTTGTCCTAGGAGTACAAGTCAAAATTAGAAAAATATAAATGCTCCTAAAATTTTCTTAAAAAAAGGGAGGAGTACCTCTTTACCTTTGTTTGGAAGCATCTTTCTATGTTGGAAAATTGACAAATTCGAAATTCAAACATCGATTATGATTATGAAACTTTATTATTTTTCTTAAAAGACAGTGATTTAAGTATTTCAAGATACTTATTTTGTCCTTTCCAATACAAATAATTATCTTAAATTAATTTAAATAAATCATAAAAATGAGATAACACAATAATTTTTAAAATATGATTGAAATTTAACTTTATAAACGAAGAAAAATAAATTTGAAATTTTTTACTATAATAATTCTATATATCATTTAATATATATTAATTAATAAATGATTTGAATTACATATTATAAATTAGTAGATATATTTTAATTAATATTTAAATAAATTAAAATGCATGACATTGTAATAAAATAGTTTGTTGAAGAAAAAAAGTTTATTAAATAATATGTATTTTAATATATAATTTAAAAAAATATTTCACCAATAAATTGATATTAGTGGTTAAAAGACTCTTTTTATAGAAGTAACAAATTTAAATACCGAGAGGAACATGAATGTCAGTTAATTGGTTAAGTGTTTTTGTATTTAGGGAAATGTATATAAAAAAATCTTTGTATGTAAGATGAAAATGGGACCCACAAAAAAGAAAAACCCAGTTAAACCCTTTGTCAGCCTCTACCTCTTTTCATGGTTTCACAACGAAGGGGGTAAAAATGCAGGAGCTTAAACATGGCAATCTGTTCATGTCGTTTTCCAGTTTTGACTCTCGAAAATCACTTAATTTCCAAACTTACGACACCTAAAACACGAAAAACACTTAGAGAGAGAATTGCTGGTTTTTCTTGGTGTTTTTGTTTTCATGGAGGCGAGCTTCGAAGTTGAAGCCGTGATCGAGTTCTTGAGGGAAAATGGCTTGAAAGAAGCCGTGAAAGCTCTCGAACAAGACGTGATGGAGAAAAAGCAAGAGGTGTGTGCTTCTGATTTCGAGAAGTTCTTGTTCCCGATGCCGCCGCCGGTGAGGATTCCGGCGATAATCCGGAGATCGGAGGGGGACGAGCAAGTGAAGTCCAGCGGTGGGTCGGGCTCCGATGGTGATGAATTCGTCAGCTTGAGGTCTTCTTCTAGTGATGTTTGCTCTTCAGGTAAGAAGAAAATAGTTAATCTGTTCATCTCAGTTCATGTTTATAGTAAGTTTAATTACTGTCCTCGTTTTAATAGATCTTTAGAGCTAATATAATATTCTGATCTCAGTTTCGAATTATCCGACACGTATGCGGACATAGATCTCCGAATATATCCGAAACTCGCCTAGAGACGACCACAAGATTTTGCGTTACGATATCAACCTTTAGCAAGTATATTAAAAATTTAGGCATGCAAAATTAGATCATCAAAAGAAATACATTATGCGAGAATTTGAAATTTGCTGGGGTGCCACCGCCCTCAGCACCCCCTTGATTCATCCCAAGTTCGAGTAACACAGCCTTTTGCTGCCATTCAAGAAATTTCATCCTTTTTGTTTGCTACTACTGCTTTTTCTTCATCAATGGATCTTTGTAACTGATATTCCAATCTTAAAATCGACACTTGTATCCGACACATATACGAAGGGGATGTGGCTCTCCATCCGTCCTCCAATTATATCCGACACTCATATCCAAGTTCGAGTAACATAGGATTTTTACTGTTATTTGTTTGGTTCTATTTTCGATATCTACATGGCTGCTGGGAGGTGAATGTTAATTGATAGAGGCATAAGAGCAGTCCAACCGTTTTTTTCTTTTCTTGTTTGCAGACTTTGTGAATCCATATGGACTTCATTCTGCATCTCAGGATGATTCTGATACTTCTTCGGATAGATTATCTCAGTTCGGAACGGCACGCGAGTATCCGGATTTTGAAATGCAGAACGACTTGTTTTGGCATGAGGATAAAGATGAAGACCACTTCTTGACTCCGTGCTTCGCTGGGTCGGATTTCTACAGTTTCCCTAGCCAGGATAAGTTTGTTACAACGTCGGAGTCAGAGATGCAACATGATAATAGGCTGATTTCATATGAAAAGTCCGACGGATCTCGAACCGAAGACGGCATTGATTACTTGGACAAGCCTTGCCTTTTGAATATGGCCAACATAAATGGAGAAGACGAGGCTCGAATTATGGGTTATTATCATTTTGATAAATGTAATGAGCTTGAAGGTGACTTTGAACCCGAGTTGAAGAACTGTGCTTATGATTCTGAGGGACCAGGTCTTTATGATGAAAATCCGCTGAACTTCGGGTATATAGGCTCTAAAGGAACATATTTTGATGATTTTCGAGTAAATGTTGCTGGAGACATTGATGTGGATCATAATGGAGCTTCTGAACATATATTAAAAATGAACCTTTACTCGGCCAGAAGGGGTTCAAATGATTTGATTGATGGCTTTGGATGTGATTCTGACTTGGCGAACAAGATTTCCGAGGAAAAATTAATAACCGATACAGTTGACGGTAATGAAGTTGAAGATGGAGAACTCGGTGAACCTGAGGCTACTGCAAATGAAGAGGGTGACGCTACATATGAACTTCAAATGTACTCTAATGAGGATGAATACGAAGTATTCGATTTACGAATCATTCACAGGAAAAACAGGTTAGCTTTATACTCTTAGTGTGGTTCAGAGTTTGAATTAATATATAGATATTTCAAGACATGGGCTGCAGGTTAATGCATCTCGCTTAGCAAACTTGTATATTATGTCATGTGCAGAACTGGATTCGAAGAAAACAAGGACCTGCCTATTTTACTAAATAGTGTCATTGCCGGAAGATATTATGTAACGGAATACCTAGGTTCGGCTGCTTTTAGTAAGGTTGTTCAAGCGCATGATCTTCTCATGGGGATCGATGTTTGCCTGAAGATCATTAAAAACGACAAAGATTTTTTCGACCAGAGTTTGGATGAAATTAAGCTTCTAAAGCTTGTTAATAAGCACGATCCCGGAGATAAGTGCCACATTTTACGTCTCTACGATTACTTCTATCACCGGGTACGTTAGTGAAATGGCTATTGCCACCCCTCTCATTCTGAGTTTCTGGCAGAACCATTCCGTAAGTGTTTATTAATGCTAATGATATCTTGAAACTCGTGCAAAATAATCGGTCCAGGAGCTCCTCTTCATTGTCTGTGAACTGCTTCGAGCAAACTTGTATGAATTTCAGAAATTCAATCAAGAATCGGGTGGAGAAGCTTATTTTACACTCAGCAGGTCGCAGGTTCGTTCGAATGGCTACCACCTTGCCTGCACTCTTCTTTTAGTTTTTCGTTTCTCTCGATTGCAGTTACCTATATGTTTCTGAAGTATAAGTGGATAGCACTTTAGGTTCACCTTGAATAATTTGCTGTTGATATTCTCTCGTACAGATCATAGCTCGTCAGTGTTTGGAGGCACTTGATTACTTGCACGAGTTGGGAATTATTCACTGCGATCTAAAGCCCGAGAATATTCTTATCAAAAGTTATAGGAGATGTGAGATAAAGATTATCGATCTCGGAAGCAGTTGTTTCCGGACCGACAATCTATGTCTGTATGTTCAATCTCGTTCCTATAGAGCCCCGGAAGTCATCCTTGGCCTGCCATATGACCAGAAGATTGACCTTTGGTCTCTGGGGTGTATCCTTACTGAGCTATGTTCAGGGGAAGTATGTCTTTAATTCCAATGTTTGCTACAGATCATTTGAAACAACTGTTCCTCGGAAACGATTTAAACCATTACTCATTAAGGTACCTATGTCTTTTTATAGGTGCTGTTCCCAAATGATGCAGTCGTGATGATCCTCGCGCGGATGGTTGGAATGCTTGGCCCTTTCGATATGGAGATGTTGGAGAACGGGCAAGAGACATACAAGTATTTCACAAAAGAATATGATTTGTACCATATAAACGAGGTTTGTTCAGGTTTCCTTTTAGAAATAGTACAACTTCAATATGTTTCGATTTAATACGATGAACTCATACTGTTTGTTTTCCTATCCAGGAGACGGACCAACTCGAATACATCATTACCGAGGAGTCTTCGTTGGAGCAGCATCTTCAAGTATCTGATGTGCTGTTCATCGATTTCGTTAGACACTTGCTTCAGATGAATCCTGAAAGGCGCCCAACTGCGAGGGAGGCATTACAACACCGATGGCTCTCCCACTCGTACTAAACCGGAACTCAACCAGATCGGCAGAGGAATGCCGCTTTCTGAGAGTATATTACACACTCATCAAGCAACATCTTATGAGACGAGCATATTTCCGATATCGATTTTGGTTTTATGTATAGCAAAAAAGTGGATCACACTTCATGTTTATTAACATTCTTTTAATTCATTGATTGAATCTCTTAATGCCAATTACTGTATATGCTTACATACATGTATAGATATATAGATTGTTTTTTGTTTCGCCTGCAATCGAATCGATACTTGCTCCGGTTACTGTATATGTTCCTCTGAACTTCGTTTGTTACACCTCTAGAAAAGGGGGGGGGGAGTTCTGTTTTTAATCTCTCCTCCATCATTGAGTTCTAATACTATGTTTTAATTTGCCTGCAAATACTACCTTGTTCATCAAGTAACAACGGCGGATACAAAAGATCAGTTGTTTGTTAGAATCAAAATAAAACAATATAAATTAGATTAATCAAAATCTATCATGTAAAATAATCAATAATAATATATTAAATGTTAAATAAAGAAACATATCCAACTCCATTGATATGTTGAAATATTTGAATTTTTTTATTTTGATCTTCCAAAACCATAGGATTCTTTTGTTGTAAAACTCTTTAAAACTATCTCTCTGTATCTACACTTATCAGGGACGAAGCTCCTTTAAGGCCCAAAAATATTAAAATCTTAGGTGATGACATGATAAAATCTATCATCATAAAGATTAAAAAAATTATGTGATAATTATCATTGGTTAAAAAATTCCATGGAACAAATTGAGAGTAGTCAAAATTTTAATGATTGTTTTCATCTAAAAAAATATAGCAAGGAAGACATCATTCAATATGTCTTTAGTTTAAGCAAAACATATTGTAGGTCTCTTATGACAAGGTTTGGGTAATGACAACAACTAATATTAAATTTGGAAAAGATCAAAATCAATGGCTGAAATTTAACCAAGCCAAAATACAAGCAGACAAGTTTGATTAATAGAGTACTCTATAAAAAAATTTGTCAAATAAGAGAGAGAAGTTCATGAACGTTGTTCAAGAAAAGTTATTATTATTGTCGTAAAGAACAAAGCTTTGCAACAATGATTTTTCCATTGAATTCAAGCTCAAGCTCACCATAATCTAAGCATTAATTCAAAAAGAACAGATTTATTATTGAGACCCTTAAAAATTAAAAAATTCATAAAAATATTAGTATCAATAGTAAAATATAAACATCGTTTATAAAATACAACAGCGATAATACAGTAATAAATTAGTTTTAACATAAATATAATGTATATGAATTGATTACACGCGGTGATTCTATACTCTTGTAATAAGTAAAATTATATAGGAGCATAGCTTTAAACACAATAGATTCGTTCCTGACATGGAATTCTCAGCACAATGTGTCATAAACAACCCAAAGTTGTCTCTTCTCATTGCCTGACGCTCCATGCCATCGGCTCAATTGCCCTTTCTTCACTCTCACTTTCAGCGCGTGAGGCATTTTAATTAGAAGAATAAATTACGCAAATAATCTCCCCCCAACGTTTTTAACAAAAATTAGTGTTTGGAATGTTTTCAATAACAAAATTTCGGTTGTTACTATATGGATATAAATATAAATATGAATTGAGTATTATTACTCATCGAATATCTAAACTAAAATATAAATTTTAAATCATCTGAATTCCAAAAATATGAATATGAATCATCCAAAATCTTAGATGTCCAATGTTTAAATCATTTCAAAAATAAATATTTTCTTTATTTTACAATCTATATTTTTATTCAAATATATGAATTCAAAATCCATGTGTGCATAAAAATATAAATACAAATAATAGATATTTAAAGGTGTTTATCAGTATCCACTCTAGATTCGAATGAAATAGTAATTTAATATCTAAAATAGAATACTATCCAAATCTGTAATATCCAAATATGTAAAAAAATAGATCAAACATCTTTAGATACATGAATCTGCAATTAGAATTGCCATCATTATCATTTTTATGAATTGAATTCACAAAAATCAATAATTCAAGTTAAACTATTGTACGAATGACTTGATTAAGTTCTCAATTCTTTTTAAAAGAATACGGGGATCATTTTGATAAATTAAAGTAATAGAGACTAAACTTCCAATTATTATAAAATAGAGAGATGATTTTAATAATTAGTCCTCAAAATGATTTGTCCCAAATTATATACTATAAAAAGAGAAATGAAAGAGCCTGTCACTCGCTTGTCTCAGCGCGTGGGTAAACATCACTTTCTCGAATCACCACCATGACCACAACCTCTGATAAAAAACTGCTTAGCGAAGAGAGAGAACAAAGCTCCATCTTTTTTAATGTCCTAAACGTATTTAACGAACCGGTTCCGGTTCCGGTTAACTGCGCGCACTTTAGCAATCCCTACGCACGATAAGCCTTACCCCCTTCCGCAATCCGCAATCCGCACCGCGTAGAATTGTTCTTTTTTTCCCTCCGAAATGGCTGAGTTGACTCGGGCCGATGTGTATACGCCTCGGTCTATGCAAGTATGGAGAGCGCTTTTGAATTGGCTCGCTTTTTTTGTTCAGATCTTTGCTCAGATCATCAGAGCCGTCGGTCAATATCCTTTGCTCTCCTCTTCGTCTTCTTCATCGACGACGACGGAGACTCCGACTTCAGCGCACCGTTTTAAGCGCTTGCCGGTCGTTGAATCGACCGAGATCGAGTCCCCCGCTACGGTCGAGATCGCTGCCGTTTTGGACTCTCCTGTTCCTGCCGGCGGTGTCCGCGTCGAAAAACTCACGGTAGACTTTTTTTTCTTCATTTTTACTCGTATTATTCTATGTTCTTTAAATTAAGCAATCAAAATGCAATCTCATCGGTTCTTTTAAAATTTCAAATTAAAATCATGGGCTGAAAGGAACATGTCAGTTCTTTAAATTCAATTTTTGATTCGTAATCAATCACTATTGGGGATTCAACATGTAAAGTCAGTAACAAAAGGAATCATATCATGTGTAGGTTTTCAATTTAGTAAAGTGTCTATTATGCCTAAAATTTTTGGATGTGGAAAGTTCTATTAAGAAGTAATAAAGATGCCAAGTTTGGTTACTTTCAAGGTAAGGTGTTCCAACCTTGTGAAACTTTAAAACAAAAGATAGTGTGTATGATTGATGTTCTAGGTTTGATCATTGCTTTTGCAGGTAGTTCTCGACTTGGATGAAACTCTCGTCTGCGCGTACGAGACGTCTAGTCTTCCACCAGCCCTTCGTAATCAAGCAACGGATGCCGGATTGAAGTGGTTTGAACTGGAATGTGTATCTTCAGACAAGGTTTGCATATGAAGAATCCAATTCTCTGTTTTAAATGATGTGATGTTTATGTAAGAGCTTTGTCATTTGGGTACTTTGATCTTTGAAGGAATTCGAAGGGAAACCTAAGATCAGTTACGTAACAGTGTTCGAGCGCCCGGGGTTGCAGGAATTCTTGAATCAATTAAGTGAATTTGCCGAACTTGTGCTGTTTACTGCTGGCCTTGAAGGTTTGCTCAACTATTAGACATTGTTTTGTTTTTAACAAATCACTTCATTCATTTTCTCATGAATTTTGTTAATGGCTACCCACAGGCTATGCTAGACCGCTTGTTGACAGAATTGATAAAGAAAATCGATTTAGTCTTAGACTTTATAGGCCCTCTACAATTTGCACGTAAGTACTGCTTCCTCTCTGTGCTCCTATAATCTTCCGGCCTGCATACTCTCGGATTTGTTGATGGAAAATTATGAAATCCTTTCGTACTTTGTGTAGGAAATTATACTTATGGTTATTTATATATCTCATTGCCTATTTAAGATAACATTTGTATTTGTGGAACGCACTAGGAATTAGTTTTAGCGCCTGAAAACTCTCAACTCGGTTTGTGTGAGGCTTTAGATGTTTTAGGGCAATCTTGTGCTTCCTCTGTGTTGTATGTGTAAGAAATCAACTTCTTCGTGATGTATTTGTTGTTTTCCTTCTAACACAACAGCGAGTATCGGGAGCATGTGAAAGACCTCTCATGCCTATCGAAGAACTTATGCCAAACTGTTATTGTAGACAACAATCCTTTCAGTTTCTTATTGCAACCCTTAAATGGGATTCCATGCATCCCTTTTTCTGCAGGGCAGCCGCATGATACACAGGTAGCGGGATTCACATCATCTTAAACTCGTTATCCTCGTTGAATATCGATTTGTTATAACGTTCTGTTTGTGTACCTCTGGTTTTTATGTTGAAAAGCTTCTGGATGTCCTCCTTCCACTTCTCAAGCACCTTTCTCTGCAGAAAGACGTGAGACCGTTTCTTTACGACAGGTTCCACATGCCGGAATGGTTTCAAAAGCAGGGTATCCCTGCTTCTGGTTGGTCAGTGTAGGAGGAAGATCACATATGCGAGGCGGTCAGTTCTTCGGCATACTTTCTTTCCGTTACCGATCTTTGCCCAAAGGCACCATAAATTTTATAGGTAGCATCCGCATTCCGGACAGGCTGATGAAAGCCACCGGAGTCTTGCAAAGGGATGAATCGGATGCTATCTCGTATTGTATTAGGTGAGGCATTATGTATTCAGATCCACACAAAAATTGTCGATTCATATTGTAACTCTGTTTATAGGCTTGCAATCCTATTGGATGTTTATATAGCTTTCGGAATTTTGTAAATTTATAGATCCTTTGTTTTTTGTTACGGATTTGCATAATTTACGAATTCGGATGTTAAGTTACTATTTATTGTAGGTTCGGGGTGGATCCATTTTCATATGTGTGGATTTGGATATGACTAGTTTTGGGTTGATACGATTCAGCTTTTAAAATTTCTCGAAACAAATGAGTAATAACTACTTGTAGATCTTCTGTCAGTTAATCCTCCAAACATGAAATACTAGACTAGTAATACAATCATGGATAGATTGTGACGGTCGTTTCTCTTGAAAATTTCAAATTTTCTATTGATAATCTGTTTTCACCTGTAAAATTCTATAAATTCGTTTCAAACATAAAATTATACGTTCGTCCCTCCATACAAACACTTAAAAGTGATTCAATGAACCAAATGGAGTGAACTCTCGGTTCAAACATGGCTTGGGCGTACTTGTTTGACAACGAATGTACCTTGAATAGACAAAATGCTAATGTCGTAGCATGGTGGCCACCTGTTAACATATTGCATGGACTTGAGGTTGTTAAATTTTCAAAGGTTAGGGTAGGTAACCCAAATTCTACTTACCAATGCCCCAA